CCATACTCCCGACCGCATCGGATTGGTCAGGGACGGTGACGCGTTTTGTCCCCATACCCCATGACTTTGAAGAAACACAAAGTGGAATAAACCCTCTAGTCCACTTGGGACCAATGCAGTGAATTGGACCTTGCTTTGAGTTATTCTTCGATGTCACCCCTGATGGACATCATTGTCAGGGAAACAAACACAGTACTGTGATTACAACATGGCAAATTCAATTCTCCGTCGACCAACAGTCCCGGCACCACACGATTCCTTCGCCACCAATGTCCTATCATACCCAGAATATATATTCCACACACAAACTATCATCGCCCATGATACACTCACGCCATACCCCCCCACCATGTCCCCCTCGGCCGCCCAGGCAAACACCACCCTTGATTAACTTATCCCCACAACACTGATACCCACCAAGACCATCACCAAAACGATAAGCCTACCCTTTAACCCCCGAAAAAACCCTGCCCCCGCCCCCCTTCCATCCCTCACGCCCTGAACACACATCACCTCCCATATTTAACATACCAATCACCCCGCCCCCCCATCTGCCAGCAAAAACTAACCCATAGCCGGAATCTTGTAAATGATTAGTTACCATGGAATAATAATACAAAGGTACAGCCTCACATACAAGCACATATATACCAAGCCAGAGGAAACTGCTTAGTTATAAATCTGTAATTGTACTGTGTGATTGTCAGAATTGGTCTAGTTTATTGAAAGCAGCAATGATAAGCCCAGGCCGACCACCATGAAAAGTCGCTGCACGCCGCATCCTAACAAGTTTAAACAGCCTTGGATAAGTTTAACGAACCCAGCTGTCCCAAAAACATTTCCGTGTTGCAACATAACTAGACACTGAAAACTGGTACACAAGCCCCAACCCTAGATAAACTGTGCGATAGTACACTCGACAGACAAGTTTTGCACCTAGCGTGGAACAAATGAAACCCTAATCCAAGGTACTACGCTGCCTCGCAGACGGTTATGTTCAAGCCTTTGCTGTGCCAATGACAACATGTGCATTTCGGTGGCATTACAAACGTGAAGGTCACATAGTTTTATACATCGTGTGAGTACACAGCCCCATCCCATTACCCGTGCCTATTCCTTTCCACCCTCTCTCCCCCATACCCCTCCAACACCCGCCATCCCGCAGGACATTGACTGATCACCCTACCGAAATCGCTTAATCGATTACAAAAAGTGACATAGCAGATTGGGTTGTGCAGACTGTGTCTCAAGAGATATAAGTGGTATATAAAACTTATATATTTTTCCATCTAGTTGATAATTCAAAGCTAACTGCTAATAACAAAAACAGTTGAATACCAGCAAACCCCCACCCACATTAGCCAAATGCCATGACCTACAACCGACCCCCACAATGCCGCCGTCTCCCATTCTCCCCTCCATCCAACGCCCCGCTCCGTGGTTCACGGACACTGTCAACGGGATAACTAAAAACAGTCCTTTATCATCACACCCGCGGCCCAACCACTGCCAACCAAACCACGCAGCCCCTCCCCCATCAACCTGCCTCTTATAACATACATACATACACCCCCCCCCCTCCCCCCCACGGCTCCTCCTCTCCCCCACCAATACATATATCTTATATGGTATGCCTATCCCACATCATATACCCATGATTCAAAGATTACCACACGCAGGCAGCAGTTTCTAGGAACGTGTTTAGGTTGACTGTTACAAAAGTATAACTATTATGGAACAATAGTAAAATATTGTTTTGTATGTTTTGTTTGTTGAAAACAAAGTGTATAACAAACTAATAGTGATAAAGTTTTTTCTGTTATTGTGTGTAAACATGATGTATATTTGAACAAAGCTCCTTACATTGGTCTCACAGGCCACAATAAGTTACACTGAACATAAAAATATTGAAAAATGCAAGAAACTTTTGAATAGAGTAAATAAAAGATACGGGTTGGGCGGTAAGTCCGCCGCTGTTGCCGTAAATACGCATGTCCCACTTTCTGCAAACTTTGCGGCTCTACATCTCGGTAAGTACTGATACAAAAAATTTTATAGGCTTCTGCCCAGGTGGGATACAGCTGTGCATTGAAAGAAGAATTTATTCTATAACTAGTTTTATTTAAGTTAGTCTTACGGCTTCCCACAAAATGCCACTGCATAACTATGAACTTTTCCCAGTACCAATAGAGAAATATAAAATAAAAAAAAAACCATGAAAGTTTGTGGAAAATAAACTTTAATATGCATAGGGTGAAAGATAAAAGCCAAATTATAACTACATAACCCGTACTATATACAATGTACATTTTGTTTTTTAACATGCACGCTGACCTGTATCTCCACCAAGGCAGGGTGACCCAAAAAGAGCAACAATTTTTTCATCATCATTCACACTATCACTGTCTTGCCAGAGACACTCAATACAACAGTTTAAAATGTCACTCCTAACAGCAACAATCCCAAACCACCTCCTCAGTCCCACTAACTGGTTTTCCCTGAATCCCTCCCACAAAATATTACCCTGCTCACACTCCAACAGCTCTGTCAAGTCCCCGAAAAACCATTATCTTCATTTTCCTAATGCACACACACACATGCCTCTTTATGTCCAAGCCCTTGTACACAAAACCTCCTTAACATACCCTTACTAAAATACAATGTACCTTAGACCATTGATTGCGACATGGACTTTTCACAACATTTCACACTATACAACAGTTAAATAATTGGCACAATTTTTTTTTTGTGATGCCGTGATGTCTAACCCTTAAACTGTCCAAACGTAGATCTACGTTTGGGCACGCATAGCACTCCAACCTTGATTCCCCTTAGAAAGAAAGTACAAAAAAGTAGATCTACGTTTGGACAGTTTAAGGGCCTAAAGGACAAAAATGATAAAACCTGTACAACGACAACTAGTAACCTAAATTTCACAATAACTACACACTGCTGTGGTCAACTGTCATTCACTACCCAAGCTGTATTTGCACAAATGTTTGAATGTGATAGTTAACTGATAATAACGTGTGGAAAGTCTAGTAAGTAAATGAACACATGAAGGCGAACTCTTGGTGCCGTACGCATGTCACTTTCTGCAAACTTTGCGGCTCTATATCTCGGTAAGTACTGATGGCAAAAAAATTTTTTTAGGCTTAAAACACTCACAAAAATATTCCTAACATTTTCATAAGAAAAAATAATTTTTTTTTTTCGAATATTTGGCGACATAGAATGACAGTTTCAGAGAGGGCCCTGAAACAGTCAAAGGGTTAATGGTGGGTATTACTCTGGGCATATTTACTAAGTAAAAAATCTTGTCTTATAGCTGATAGTATATGATATTTTTACTGATGTCTGCAGGTGATTGTCATTTTGGTAGAGGCAGGTGATAGTTCCTTGTCATGTTTGCAGAAGTATTATACAGGGTCACATCAACCTTTTCCACACACTTCCATATCAACAAGCAATGACAACTATAATGTAATGAATTTTTGAGTTTTGATGAATTACAAAGCTTTAAAAAATATTTGGTCGACTTTATTCTGCGAGTATAATGAACGTGACTATTTTCCCTATTTGTTCTCCAGCTCATTTTAGACTTTTTTTTTTTATAAGGTGCTTTTTCAGAAACACAACTGTCTTTATCAACAATCAACTGTACATACCTATAATAAATTATACATACATACTCACATCTACAATAATTACATATGCATACACGTTATAAGAAAAGTGAATGCTTGGGTGTTGGGGAGAGGTGTGGCATTAAAAGATTAAAAATCTTTTTATGATGACACTGTGCTTTTCGGAGATTCTGAAGAGAACTTGTGGAGGTTAGTGAATGAGTTTGGAAGGGCATGTAAAAGAAGGAAATTAAAAGTGAACATAGGAAAGAGTAAGGTGATGAGGATAACAAAAATTTAGGCATTGAAAGACTGGATATCAGATTGGAGAGAGGGAGTATGGAGTGGCTAACGCGACGGGCTGGATTTTTGAGACTCTCTGACCGCAGGTTCAATCCCGGCCAGGGTATGGTATGGAGGAAGTGAATGTGTTCAGCAGATGGGCCTATGAAAGATGAATTGAATTGTAAAACTGATGAGGGGAAAAAAGTGAGTGGTGCACTAAGGAGTCTGTGGAAACAAAGAATGTTATCCATGGAAGCAAAGATAGGAATGTATGAGAGTACCAATGCTCTTATATGGGCGTGAAGCATGAGTGGTGAGTGTTGCAACAAGGAGAAGGCTGGAGCCAGTGGAAATGTCATGTCTGAGGGCAATGTGTGGTGTGACTATAATGCAGAGAATCTGTAGCTCAGAGATTTGAAGGAGGTGTAGAAATATACCTAGTTGGATGAATCTTATTGTGGCTAGCTGGTCTAGTGGCTAACGCGACGGGCTGGAGTTTTGAGACTATGACCGCGGGTTCAATCCCGGCCGGGGGTATGGTTTGTTTGCAATCGTGTCATTACGATTTCTTGAGTCATTTGAAGGAGGTCCAGGGCTCTAAAAGCATTATCCACAGGGCTGACAAGGGGTTGTTGAGGTGGTTTAGACAGAGGGTGGAACAAAATAGAATGACTGAGGGCATATAAATCTATAGCAGAAGATAGGTGGGGTAGGGGTCATCCTAGGAAAGGTTGGAGGAATGGGGTAAAGGGTTTGAGTTCGAGAGGCTTGGACTTCCAGCAAGTGTGCGCATGTAAAATAGGAGCGAGTGGAGGCAAATGGTTTTTATGACTTGACATGCTGTTGGAGTGTGAGCAAAGTAACATCTACGAAAAGATTCAGAGAAACCAGTTAGCAAGACTCGAGCCCTGGAGGTGAGAAGTACAGTGCCTGCACTCTGAAGGAGGGATGGAGATATGTTGCAGTTTTTTAACTGTAGTGTAGGTGCACCTCTAGTAAGACAGTGATGGAATGAATGATGAAAGTGTTTCTTCTTTTTCATTTCACCCTGCCTTGGTGGGAAACATGTAGTAAATCACACCTACATACCTGTACTAAACAGTCTACAGTACTTGAATAAATCCTGGAAGTACAGACAGCTCCATTACCACTAACTTGTGCTGGAGCCTTTAATTTTTTTTGATTCATCACTCTTGTCTGAAAATAAAGCCATATCAGTATTTTTAAGAAATGGAGTACACTAGTATTCCTTTTATTGGAATACATAATGCATGCACAGAGGTATAAATTATAGACAGTTCAGAATAAAGAATCTAATGTCATTTACATGAAGAGTTCAAGCTAAAGAATTTCTGAATTAAAAAGTTTGGGCAAAAAAATTGGTTTATAAATTAGACACGTGCAACTCTTGGGTATCTTTATTGAGGAAACGTTTCACCACACAGTGGCTTCATCAGCCCATACAAAGGAGAATCTTGAAGAACAGGAGGAGAATGAGGTAATCAGTCCCTCAACTTTGAGTCGATGTGGTCAGTCCATCAATCTTGAATAAAATACGGCATATGAGCGGAGAAGGAGCTTATAAACCGTAGGCAGAAGAGTGCAGCAGTTGTAGATGGTGTCACATTTGTTCAATGTGGAAGTAGGTCGTGCCCAAGGGTTAGGCAAGCGAAGAATTTCCAAGTATTAAGATCCCAAGAAGTTGCAGTGTCTGACAGGATTGTAGATGAATGGTTCAGAAAAAGACACGTTAATAAATTAGATACATGTGCAACTCTTGGGATCTTAATACTTGGAAATTCTTCGCTTGCCTAACCCTTGGGCACGACCTACTTCCACATTGAACAAATGTGACACCATCTACAACTGCTGCACCTCTTCTGCCTACGGTTTATAAGCTCCTTCTCCGCTCATATGCCGTATTTTATTCAAAATTGATGGACTGACCACATCGACTCAAGGTTGAGGGACTGATTACCTCATTCTCCTCCTGTTCAAGATTCTCCTTTGTATGGACTGATGAAGCCACTGTGTGGCGAAACGTTTCCTCAATAAAGATACCCAAGAGTTGCACATGTGTCTAATTTATCAACGTGTCGGTTCTCTGAACCATTCATCTACAAAATTGGTTTAACAGCATTGATTTATACATTATAGCTAGATTTATATACCACTCCTAGTTTTATACAGTAATACTAAATTGATACAGTAATCTTAGAATAAAACAGTATAACCACCCATATCCATGGGTCCGGTTTCCATGGTTTGCCATGGCTCAAAAATATTAAGATGGAGAGCAGGATTTAACTGGGAAAATTTTACTAACAGACCAATTTCAATTATTTTTTTTTATTATTGTAAGAAGGTGGCAGTCTGAAGTAAATACTAAAAGTTTCATAAAGTTCACCCAAAAATAGAGGGAAAAATAAAATAATTATTTTTGATATGGCAACACTTATGCTTTCACTCACCACTTCCCCACAACTTCTAGCCACAGCCCCACTCCCACACCTTACCCATGGAAGACACTCATGGAAGATCCATGAAAGAGCCTAGAAGACACATACTCAAATCCTGGGCACCCACAAACTAAAAAAAAAACAGATACTGTCCTAACTAAACTGAATGAACCACAACTACAGTTTTTTGATACAGCTAACAACATAAATAACTTCTTCTCAACCATAGGATCAAATCTTGCCAGTAAAATTCCAGGCACCAATACCCGAGCAAATGATTATCTGGATGGCAACTTCCCAACTTTTTCTATCTTGCACCAGCCAAGCCCACAGAAGTTACCACAATTATTAAGCCACTAAAAAATAAATCAGGAAATCTAGCTCAAGTCCCACCATTATTGCACAAGTGAGTGGCTCATGCTCTTTTGCCCATTATCACATTACTCTAGAAACCAGCACTTTCCCGACATTACTCAAGATAGCAAAGGCTACACAATACACAATACACAATGCTCATAATTTTAAACTACAAGTCAAATCTTACTCCAAATTAATAATATTCATTATTCTTACCTGTCCATTTAATTTTGTTTATCACTACTTGTTTTTTTAGTCACTTTTCATTGTGTATGCAATTAGTGTATATTCCAATTACTTTTTTGCAAGTACCAAAACTATCTTTTGCTAGCTAGTACCAACTACCTCATTTTTTTTACTTTTATTGTGCAATAAACTGCTCAATTTATTTAATATTACAAATCAGATCTTACTCCTAAACCAATATTATTTCATAGTGACCACCTGTCCATTTAACTTTGTTTACCATTACTTAATTTTAGTCCCTTATATATTTTCTCCTTTATTTTAGCTTTATATAACTACCCTAGTTTATACATTCACAATTGTTAAAATAATCAAGGTGCTATTCTCAGGTGCTAAAGTAGAATAAGTTCACAATTTTGCCATTATATTCCAAAGCTCATTTATTTGATTACCACTTTATTGTTCACCACAACTTACATTAGTCCCTTTTATATTATTATTTTATACTATAATTCTAACTTTAAAGAATTACCTTTATAGTACTACCTACTATCATATTCCCAAGCTCCATTATTTGATTATCACTTTATTTGTATTAGTCCCTTTTATATTGTCTCCTTTATTTTAGCTTAAAAAAAAAAAAAAAAAAAAAAAAAAAAAAAAAATACCTTAGCTCATTATTTTACATTTGTTAAATAATTCAGGTGCTATTTTTTAGCTTAAGACTACTTACTTTGTTTTATACTTAATTCTAACTATAGATTCACTACAAATCTTATGATTACAAGCATTGATCCTGATACAACCTCTTATTTAATGACTTAAATGAATCAAACAGTTACTGTAATTACTACACTGCAGAACAATCAAAGGCACTTCTCAGTGCCAACAACAACATAACTATCTTTAACTACAATATCAGATCTTTAAGCAAGCATTACGATGACCTCATAGCATTACTAAATTCCTTACATGCCAATATGTCCATCATTACACTAACTGAAACCTGGCTAAAGCCTGATAGTACAGATGTCTATGCCATTCCTGGTTACACAGCCATACACAACTGTAGGCCAGACCAACAAGGGGTGGCACAGCCATATACTACTCAGACCAACTAGAATGTATCACTAATACTTGCACAAGGGATGAACATGGGGAATATATAATAGCTAAATTCAAATCCAAATACCTACAAAAACCTCTCACATTGATAAACATTTACAGAGTTCCACAGTCAAACATTAGCCAATTTAGTCAAAACCTAGGAAGTATGATAACTGATGTATGCATGAACAAAGATCACTTACTACTCTCAGGTGACTTCAATATAAATCTCCTGCAAGACCAGGACCCACACGTCACTGAATTCACAAACACAATGAGTAACTGTATGTTGCTACCAACAGTAACAAAACCTACAAGAGTTACAGAGACTAGTGTTTCCCTACTTGACCACATCTGGACCAACACCATATCCCCTTTAAAATCAGGCATAATTACAGATAATACCACAGACCACTACCCTACTTTTCTCATAACAACTCTTGGTAAATTACCCCAAGACACTACTAAAGTCACCTTCAGACTTCACAATGAGGCAGCCATTAATAACTTCACAACAGCAGTAGCAAACATTGACTGGCACACTGAGCTAGAAATCTATACAGATATTGACGAATGTATTAATAATTTTCTAAAAAAGACCCAATACCTCTATAACAAGCCCTGCCCTAAAAAAACTAAACAGATGACAGCTAAGAGACTGAACAGTCCCTGGTTAACACCCAGCATTCTCAAATCCATAAATACAAAACACCAATATGAAAAACAGTACAGAATGTGTCACATAACCAGAGACCAAACAAAACGTTACTCGTCAATCCTAACCAGCCTGATAAGAAGGGCAAAAAAATTGTATTATGAGAACAGATTATCCAACTTACGAGGTGATATAAAAAAGACCTGGAAAACCCTATCAGAAATTCTAGGAACAAAAAAGATATCACGAAATAGCGAAATAAAATTAGCAAAATCAGATGAACCCCAACTCCCACCAACAGAAACAGCAAACAGACTCAATGACTTCTTCTCCACTATAGGACAAAACCTTGCCAATAAAATCCCAAGCTCAGATACCCCACCAAATGACTACCTCACGGGCAACTACCCGAACACACTGTTCCTAGCTCCGACTAACCCATACGAAGTCTCCCTTATTATCAACACGCTAAAAAACAAGGCAGGAGATTTAAATACCTTACCACCCTTTATATACAAAAAAGTGTCACAAGTGCTATCACCAATCATTGCAACACTCTTTAACAACCATATGACCTGTCTTTGTAATACTCACTTGTGCTTTATAGTAATCTGTTTACATTAAAGTTTTATCACTGATGTCATCATTGCTTAGTTAATCTTAAGTTAACTTTAAGCCAGCCCGTAATGCTATGCATAGTATAAGTGGCTTTGGCATGCTGCTCTTATCTGTATTTTTTGTACCTCTGTATGCGTGCTCAAATTTTTAAATAAATAAATAAATAAATAAATAAATAAATGTAAACAACTACAGGCCAATATCAGACAGATTATATTCCTTTATAACATCACAAAGTATCCTCAACCCCTGCCAGTTTGGCTTCAGGAGAAACAAAAACACAAATGATGCAATTGTAAAATTACTAGACCTGCTTTACATAGCACTCAAAACAAATGAATATCCAATGGGACTCTTTATCAACCTAAGGAAAGCTTTTGATACAGAAGACCACACCATTCTACTCCACAAACTTGATCATTACGGTATAAGAGGCCATGCACTTACATATATCAAGTCTTACCTAAAAGATATTAATATATATCTCTTCAGGTCACATCTTCATCAACAAGACCTCTGGACACTGGGGTACCTCAGGGAAGTGTCCTTGGCCCCCTACTCTTCCTCTTATACATCAACAACTTTCCAAATGTATCACAACAACTTAGACCTATTATCTTTGCTGACAATACAACTTTTGTCATCTCTCAACCCTAATCTTGCCACACTCAACACTATTATTAATGAAGAGCTCGTAAAAATATTGACCTGGAAGACTGCCAAGACCTTCTACATTATGTTTGGGAGCAGAACAGGTGATAACCAGCTGAACATTACGAATGGTAACACTCTTACTGCTAAACATAATGAGGGAA